GACATTGGCGTTGCTAGCGGCATGCTCTCTTTCAGCTATATTAATATTTATATTTAAAATTGCATACTTAATGTTATTGAGCATGTGAGGTAGTGAAAAGTAAACTTTTCTGTACTTGTGCTGACAAAAAAACCTGAGGAGTGTGAGATCAGTCTGTTATCTGATTATTAACCCGAAGTCAGGAGCAGAACTGACTGTAGGAAACACTTCATTACTGTAAGAAGAATAGAAAGGCTTGGACAGGGAATTATGAGTCAGACTGTAATCCTGATGATTAGGTCAATGAAGGAATTAAATGGATTATTTCCTTTACCCTGATTTGTTGCTTTATATAATTGTTGTGTAAGAAGCTTCAAATGGATATAAGCTGAGAGACCAGATTCATTTTTTTCCATCAAGGTTTTATGCACTAAAAGTTTGCACTTCATTAGTGATAAGCAAGTACACACTATTGATAGTACGCTACTATGTACTACAATGAGATTAAATTGAGTTTAGTGCCACAGGCCTCCATTTACAGTACTGATCAAAATTTTGAAATAATTAAGATTTTTAAAATGTTTTTGAAAAAGCCTCTTCTGCTCACCAAGGCTGCATTTGATCAAAAATACAGTAAAAAAGTCATACTCTGATTGCAATATATATTAAACTGTAATTTATTTCTGTGATGCGCAGCTGTATTTTCAGCATCATTACTCCAGTCTTCAGTGTCACATGATCTTCAGAAATCAGTATAATATGCTGATTTGCTGCTCAAGTGTAGTCAATTATTACTAATTATTATTAATAACGTTTCTTATTATTTTCAGTGTTGAAAATAGTTCTTGCTGCTTTATATTTTTCTTTTTTTTCCCAGGATTCTTTAATGAATAGAAGGTTCAATGAACAGCATTTATTTGAAATAGAAACTTTTTGTAACATTATAAATGTCTTTACTGTCACTTTCGATCCATTTAATGCGTCATTGATAAATAACAGTATTAATTTCTGGTTTCCCCAAAAATATTGGGCAGCACAACTGTTTTCAACATTGATGATAATCAGAACTGTTTCTTGAGCAGCAAAAATTCAGCTCTGATCACAACAATCAATTACGTTTTGCTCTATATTGCAATTAAAAACACTTCATTTAAATTGTAATAGCCTAATATTTCACAATTTTTACTGTATTTTTTTTTTTAATCAATTAAATTCTCCCTTGGTGAACAGAATAGACTTCTTTCAGAAACATAAAAAAAATCTTACCAACTCCAAAATTTGTGTAGTGTAGGTTAGGGCTGCACGATTAATCGCATGCGATATTTAACGCGCGGGCACGTGAAAGGCTCTGCAGACGATCGCTGCACTAATTGGTTAGGCTGGAAGTGCAGTCTGTGCCAAAGCAGTTCTCTCTGAGCTCCACATTGTGCCAAGACCGACAGCAGCAGAACAAAAGGCCTCTCTTATGTGCTGAAGCAGCACCAAATACAAGCTCAGTAAACACAGATTCCTGCTCAGTGTGGAAGATTGTTTCCATAATGGGATAAAAAAAATTAAGATTTATTTTTTTTTATTGCAATTTTGAGTTTACATCTCACAATTTAGTTTTGTTGTTGTTGTTGTTTCTCTTACACAGTCAATTGCAAATTTATATCTCACAATTTTGACTTTTTCTGAGTTTATATCTCACAATTCTGATTTTTGTTTCCAGAATAAAAAAATTCAAATTGTAATTACAACATTTTATCTCTGTTCTATGTACTTTGTACTTGCACTATGTACTTTACTGAACTGTTCTTTGTTCTGTACTTTTATTTTATTTTTAATTTTGCAAATGCAAGCTTATTTGTCAAAATGTACACTTTTGTTTCTCAGAATTGAGTTTATATCTTGCAATTCTGAGGGGAAAAAAGTTGTGAGTTGTGAGATATAAACTTGGAATTGCGAGAAGTCAAATCACATAAAAGTCATATCACAAAATTGTGAGATAAAAAGTAATAATTACCTATATAGTTTTATCACTACAGGACCGGTTAACATTAAATAATAATTCTGATGTTATATCTCGCAAATGTGACTTTTTTTCTGGTTTATATTTCACAATTGCCAGTTAACATTTTGCAATTCTGAGAAAAAAAGTTGTGAATTATTAACTCAGAATTGCAAGATATATTGAGTTCATAGCTCACAATTCTCACTTTTTCTCTGAATTGTGAAATATATCTGAATCATGAGATATAAACTCAGAATTGCAAGAAAAAGTCAAACATTGCCATTTTTCTTAATTTCATTTTTTTATTCCATGGCAGAAACATGCTTCCATTCAGAAATTAAGTAAACCTGATTTAAGCAGATTAATATATTTAGCATCAATCAAATTTGTTTCAGTTTCATACATTTGAACTTACTGAATATTGCTTGTTCCACAGATAGACATGTTCATACTTTTTAACTTAATAAATGTAATTGTTTTCAATTACAGAACAGAACAGATTTGTACTGCTTCTAAGCCATTTAAATAAATGCATTTTGATAATTTGATAATTTAATTAGTTAAATAGATGCATATACTTATAATAAATGCCGTGATTTTTTGAGGTCTGAAATCTGACCCGTTTAATTTCTGCATAACTGACAAATATGCATCACATTACGTTTATTAGTTTATGTTCAAACTGTCTAATCCAAATTTAACATGCAATTCAAATACGTAAATCTCAAACTAATGCCTAAATGTTTTTAGCAATAGGAATTCTTTAATGGGACTAAAGAAAATCATGCGTTGAGGGATGCATTTCATCCATATGGCTGATTATCATAAAGGAAGTGGGCAGGAAGTCGTCTGCACCATGTGCTCCTGATAGTGAACAAACCTTTGTATGTAAAGATGGGAAGATTAGCATGCAAAGTTATAATGAGTCCATTGTGGAAAGCCAACAATGAGAACTTTGATTTAACAGCATGAACCCGGGCCGATAGACACGGACACTCAGCGGTTAAAACACTTCAGACGAGAAGCTGAAGGGATTTAGAAAGATGATCAAAGACATATTCCTCATGAAGAACATTGTGCTGTTACGGGCTCCAATCCATCAGGACACTTCAGAGATCACACACTCTGGATTTCTCTTGTACAATAATTGTCTAATGTAATGCAATTTTGTTTCAATGAAGATAACTGAAGGTCCATCACTTTCACCAAAGAACGTGGATTAATAACTGTTTCTTTCAAGTTATAGGGCCTATTGCAAATTAAACTTAAAACTAACTGGCACATCCAACCAGTGTTTGAATAGATGAATGTGAGATGAAATTACTGCATATTTTACACCTGTTTGTCTCTGTAAATCAGGACTTAAAACCGTTTCAGCTCTTGCTTTTCAGAACCACAACTCATAATATGTGATATTTTTGAACTTGAGATAACTTTTATAACTACAGTTATAGGGAGTTGAAAAGTCTGAGAGGAACACATTGAAAATCTGTTTAAACTTGGGAATAAAGTTTTTAGAGTTTGAAAAAACAAACAAAATATCATTATGTAAAATGAAGATTTTTTTTCTTCAAATTTCATGTAGTACAAATGAAATCTGTGCTACATGAAAAAATCTGATTAAAAGAGAAAAATGCTAAATAAATAAATACTGCAAAAAAGCATTTTCACAAGTGATCTCAGATCTTAAGCATTTTTTTAAATAGTCTTAATTTGTGATCATCACACTCATAAATGTGTCTTTAAACTAAGAAATAAAGCAAACTGCACAAACAAATGAAAATGAAAAGTTATTTTAGTGAAAACTGTTTTTTCCCGACATTTTGTTTTTTGCTTATCAGCAGCACAGTTCAGAATATTAGTTTTTATTATTATTTTTGTTTATTTACTTTTAAAAAAAGATAATAATATAAGCAAGGGAGTTCAAAAGTCTGAGAGGAGCACACAAGTTGCAAATGTTCACTTTAAAAAAAATCATTATGATGCTAAATGAAAGTGAAAGATTCTTCACTGTTTCTAAGTCACTAATCAAATATAAACAGATTTATTATAATAAATGAATAAAATTGCATTAAAGAAATTCAATGCAAAAAGCATTTTCTCAGACCGTTGAACCCCACTAAATCGATTTAAGCATTTTAAAATAGTATTTCTTAATTTATGAGCCTCACAAGTGATATTATCATAAATATGCATGTTAGCCTACAATATACTTTTGTGAAAACTCACATTTGTTGACATTTCGTGAGCACAGAAATCAAAAATGCAGAAAAATCGAGACAAACATTCAGCTGATTTATTGACTGATCATCAACTTTGGTACTTTGACATTTTAGAGAACGCAAGGTAGCCTATAATATCATCTTCCTCTCATTCAATCACTCACTTTTTAAATATAAAAACCAACCCGATCTCATGAAAGTGCGTATAAATAGTACGCCAAATAAAAACGAAAACTCGTGGTATTGATATGCAAAAATAGACTTTGGCGTGTATATGCTACGCGATGGGTAGGTTTAGGGTTGTGGGGTAGATGCGTATCATATGTACGCGAAAACTGCGTATCATATGCACGCCAACAAATTTCGTATCATTTGCGTATCAATACCACGAGTTTTCGTTTTTATTTGGCGTACTATTTATACGCATTTTCATGAGACCGGGCTCATAAAAACACACTTGCATCTGGTTTTCCAATAACATTTGGATAATTAGCATAAAATTGTCTCTCATAAATGACCTCGTAGTCATTAAAACCTAAGTTGCACTTTCTCGGAAAGTTTGCATCATTTGTTTCCACGATTAGTAAAGTGTGGTTTCATTAGAATCACATTCACGTGCAGATTTGGGTTTGAGCTTATAAAATGATTCACAAAATGATTTGTAATCAAAAAATGAAGTCTAATCTGCCCAAAAACTAAAAACAGCAGCATTATATTTACAATCTTTGAATATATATATGATAATTTCAGTGCAAAACTATTTGTTAATTAGTTGAAGCAAACTGTGTGCTCATTAATTAATAATCTCACACATATTCTGTCCTCCCGCGAGGAGAGCGTTCCGGACGCGTCATTTGAGCTCTGTATAGCGCTATAGATTGGTGTAGCGAACACGTTTCGTCTTGCATAAACAAGCAAGAAGTGACCAATAAGAAACCAGCCACCAAATGCAAAAACCCAGCCGTCCAGCCGAGGAAAAGCGCATCTCCGAACTCCCACCGAGGAACCACGCTTGGCACGCTTTCGTCGAAGAACCGGAGAACCGTCAGATGGGCCACATACGAGACCGGCACGAGACCAAGGACACCTGCGACGATGCTAAAGATCCCGCCGAGCATCTTCAAGGTCCTTTTGGCTTTGAAGCTCTCCGTGCGTCTGCAGCTGTTCACCAGGTTGATGCCCGGGATGGCGAATAACAGGCCGATTAAACCCGTCGCCACAGCGGTGCACATCAGGATTCGGGCCAGTCGGATGTCCGATGGGAGACCCAGAAGAGTGTTGTATGGCAGGCACTCGGTCATCCCCAGATCCTGAACCACGCAAGCTTCCCACAATCCCAGCTGGAAGCTCTCGGTGGGCAGGAGCTCGGTGGAAAGTGTGAGCCATTGTGGTATCATGAGGGTGACCAGCGAACACAAGCAGGCGACCAGCGAGAAAAACACACCCAGCAGCTCCAGAGTCCCTAATCCAGGGTCCATGACCACTGCTCGCCTCCTCCTCCCTGTCTACTCTAGTTAGTAGACTGAGAAGTGCAGAGAGCTGACAAGCAGTGATGGGATGGGTGGGCAGAAGCTCTGATTTCTCTCAGCATAGAGACGCAAACAACAGCAGCATTCACCCAGTGTTGGGGAAAGTTACTTCAAAAAATTACAATATGGCATTACCTAGGTAATGGAAGCCTGTTTCCGCCACTGAATAATAAAAAATAAAAAAGATAATTGTGACTTTTTATCTCATACTTTACATCTCGCAATTCTAACTTTTTTTTTCTCAGAAGTGCCTGATACAAACTTGCAATTCTGACTTTTTGTTTTCTCAGAAACTCGCAATTGTGAGAAATGAAGTCAAAATTGCGAGATAGGCTATAAACTGTCAATTCTGACTTTTTTACATCTCGCAATCCTGCGAAGCATTCTGGAAGAAGCTTGCGTCTCCCGATAACGCTGTCTCTTAGCGCGCTACGAAGACTCTAAAGGTATGCCTTAACCAAAGGTGCACCATTTCTAGGCGTGTTCCCGGAACTATACTTTAGAAGGTTGCTTACCCTGTTGAAAAAAACAGCATATGCTGGTTATGTATGTTTTGACGCTGGGATGCTGGTTTAAGCTGGTCCTTGCCAGCACATGACCAGCATATCTAGTTTCATCCTAGTGACTGAAAGTTAAACCACTGCACCATTATCCCAAGGTCCTTTGAAGATTTGTTGAAAAATAATAATTTAAAGCAGTGATGGGCAAACTTGGCCCTTCCAGGCTACTTTCCTGCAGAGATTTGGTCCAACCCTGATAAAACTCACCTGCCTGTAGCTTTCTATTAGTCTTGAAGACAATGATTAGCTGGTTCAGGTGTGTTTGATTAGGGTTGGAGCTAAACTCTCCCCTTGTCCAAATACCCACACTTGGTGTCTTGGCCACTTGAGAGCACGTGCGCGCGACAGGAAGTAAGTGTGCAAGACTGTCCCAGATCTTAAAAATGCCAGAGCGCAGTGCCCTTAACGCACACTAAACCCACAGTGTATCCCATTAGTTAGTGAATCCCATCATGCATCATGTTCTGGAAATAAATCGTGAGACTTTTTGCCAAGATCGCACGAGAGGTCACGGAAACCTTTCCAATGTAAGTGAAATATTAATAATAATAAGATATTACATATAATTTGGTAGTAAAACAAAGTGCTACACATTTTATTGCTCCAAAGATTAGTATATTTATTTTTGTACAACATTTGCAACTGCTTTTTATCACTTAATTAAATTGTGTCATCTATAGGGACTACTAAACAGACATTTAGAAGTTGATTTTAAAATGCAAAGTATTGAAAATAATAATAAAACTCTGTAAACAATTAGCATTTTTACAACACTATAAGTGTGTCCCATCAGGTAATGAAAAGTTGTACAAACACTTGTGGTCTTCATGCTCACTTACAGGAAATACGTCATAGAAGTAGTCAAGTGGTCAAGTGCAAAGACCACAAGTGTGTGTATTTGGACAAGGCAACTGTCGTGAACGTGCATCCAAAGTGACGCAGTAGAGACGAAAATGTGGAATAAAGTCGTTATTTTTGTTTTCTTTGCACAAAAAAGTATTCTCGTAGCTTCGTAACTTCACAGTTGAACCACTGATGCCACACGGACTACTTTGTCGATCATCTTGGTACTTTTCTAAATGAAAGATGAACGATTTTTGAAAGTCTGACAGTAATCAGTGTTGATTTCTACTGTAAGGTTAACCCTGCCTGCTTTAAATGTTTCAAGATGATAAACAGTTAAAAACATTCGAAATGTAGAAAAGTACAATACAAGAACAACATTTTAATGTTGGCTCTCCATCACTCTCCAGAATAAAATGATACTTTAAATGTCATCCACGTAATAGTCAAAAGCATAATATGCTGTAATGTTTACCAAAAGTCTGAACACTGAACTATTGCACTATCAATGCCTAAACATAACGCCTAATGAATCTGGGGTGGTCAGGTGTTACAAGTTCTCAGAAAACTCCCAGTTCACTAATTGTAATTACGAGTTCTACAAGGATGTGAATGGTTTTTACAAGGTGGTATCTCGTAATTAAGGTAATTACAACATGGCGTGAACGCACCTTTTGTTTCATATCACAATTGGCGTGAGATTCACATGGGCAGAGTGAGAGCGTGAGACAGAGCCTGGAAGCATGTCTATCGCCAAATGCGTGAGAGTTGGCAACCCATATGTGTGTGTGTGTGTGTGTATTATCTGCCAGTAGTGTTTGGGAGCTGAACATGAAAGCTGAAGTTAGAGAAGGAAATATACTTTGAGATAAAACTCTCCCACGCTGCTCAGACAATGGTTCACATGTTCAAAAGACTTGAATTAGGTCTTTCATTTAGTTTAGAAGAAGGCTTGATGACTTTCAGTTAACTCAGGATCACAAAGAGGTCAAGAACTTCAAACAACTAACCATGGTAACTTTTCCTCCAAATTACCAGACTACAGAGATGTTTATTGCTGTATAATAAAAGTATATAAAGGGATTTAAAAATCTTTCAAACAAGGGCATAGATTTTAGTATGGATGCTATGACATGTCCCTCCCTACCAATATTCAGCAACTAAATTGTCCCTAGCAATAATTTTGATCAAACAATTAAATGTATGTATGTAACTATTGCTGTTGTAATTTCGGCTGCATCTGAAATAGGTCATTGATATTACCTGAGTCATTAAAGAAATAAGCTTGAAAAACACATTTAATACATGTGCCGAGTAAGAACATATAAGAGCCGAAGTGTTTAAAACAATACGAGCAGAGTTCAGCTGAATGATAAAGTTTACTCTCTTTAACTTTATGTTCTGCTGTTTTGTGTTCATCTGCTTCTCCCATTTGCTCTTTTTAGTCGCAAGTCTACTTTATTTATAAAGCCCTTTCTACTACAAAGTAGACCAAAGGACTGTACAGCAACACAAGAAGACGAGAATAGTAAAAACAAAAATCAACAATAACAGAAAAACAATTTAAAACAATTTACATCTTCCAAAAGTCAACAATTAAAAGCCATAGAAAACAAGTATGTTTTCAGATGAGATTTAAAAACATCAACTGAGGATGTTTGCAGCTCTGATGTCAGGTGGAAGGGTATTCCACAGTCTTGGGCCAGCAACCGAGAATGCACGATCCCCCTTAGTTTTCAGGTGAGTTTTCGGAACTGAGAGCAGTAAGCAGTTAAATGATCTTTGAGGTCTACCAGAGTTCATATGAATCAGGTCCGTAATATATTCTGGGGCCATATCATGGACAGCTTTAAAAACGTACAGCAACACCTTATACTGAATCCGATATTTAACCGGAAGCCAATTCAGCTTTTCCAAAACTGGAGTAATATGCTCCCTTTTCTTTGTACTAGTAAGGAGCCTCGCAGCTGCATTCTGGACCAATTGCAATTTTGAAATAAGCGATTGGCTCACTCCCAAATAAAGTGCATTACAGTAGTCCAAACGGGAGGAGATAAATGCATGAATCTCAAGGTCAGCAACAGACAAAAAGGATTTCATTTTTGCAATAGTCCTCAACCGAAAGAAGCAACTTTTCACCACACATTTAATCTGATGATCAAACGTTAGAGCTGAATCAAAAATTACACCCAGATTTCTTATTTGGGACTGCACATTTGTTGTCCGTGTACCTAACACATCGTTTATGTCACGGTCAACCTTATTTGGCCCAAAAATGATTATTTCAGATTTACTCAGATTACTTCACCTCCTCAAGACATAATAACAAAGATGAATGACAAGTTGATCCTCCAGATCTAATAGGCAAATAAATCTGAATATCATCAGCATAAAGATGATAAGACATAATGTGTTAAAAAAAAAAAAAAAAAGGCCTAAAGGCAACAGAAATAGTGAAAACAGAATAGGCCCCAAAATGGAGCCCTGTGGTACTCCACAGTCAATAGAAACTGAAGAGGAAGAAAATTCCCCAACCCTCACTGAAAAGGATAGTCCCTTCAAATAAGAAGAAAACCATTTTAAAACAGTCCCTCTCAGACCCACAACATCCTCTTAAACGTTTAATAAGGATATCATGATCTATTAGATCAAAAGCTGCACTAAGATCGAGCATTATTAAAGCTCCTCGACTACCTGAGTCTGCAATGATTAACAAATCATTGGAAACTCTCAATAAAGCTGATTCAGTGCTGTGTCCTGCCCTAAAACCAGACTGAAAAGCATCTAGCACATCAACGGTGTTTTTACATTGACTATCACACTATAATGCAATCAGATACAACAATAATTTTTCATATTTATTCACTCTATATAGACTAATAAAAATTAGATAACACAATAATTTCTCAAATAATTATTACAATATATACTGATAAACTGAACATTCACTTCAATGGTATGAGAGACTGGATGCTTTCAACTGATTTCCAACTGAACTGCAGCTCAAACTATTTCAAATAAAGTGAATTAAAGGCACAATATGTCATTTTCGCCGCTAGAGGGCGCATATTCAAAATAAACAAAGAGATAAAGGTATAGTTTGATGACTCCGTGACTGAGTGTGGAATCATGGGAGTTGTGGTCTTCATCCGACAGTCGATGCAATCCGACGGGACTTGGGCAGAAATCATGTTCATGGATGAGCTAATGATTTATTAACGTAGTAGAATGAAGCAGAGTGGGGCTGAAAGTCGTCGAAGCGAAATGAGGCCGCTGAACGAGCG